TACTTCAGTCTTTCAGTTCAGTACAGTAAACAGTCATATGTGGTACATCCGTTAGCATAACAGTAAACAGTAGGTCTAGAAGACCGAACAGTAATGATGGCCATCAGTCAGTAAACAGTAGTGGTTCCACGAGGGAACCGACAGAGATCTCTATAACAGTAGCAGTCAGTAACAGTAGTTGCTAAGGATGCCACAATATAGTTCAGAATAGAGGACATTCATTCATTCAATTAACAGTAACAATTCAGTAAGCAGTACAGTTCAATTGTTCAGAAAATAATTATTTTGAACATATCTTTACACAGTTGTTACTCACAGAGTTTGGGCTACAGTATGCTAGAGCGTGTCTCCCCAGTCGCCAGCCCTACACAGTTAACAGATTGAACGCACACTAAGCTACACAGTTGGGAAACATAACAACTTAATCCCTAATTTGCCTCGGTGTGTTCTACATCTATATCCTCAATAAGATGTCTTAAACTAGGCCTAAGAATGCCTAGAATGGAATGAGGATGCAAAGATGTGATCAGAAGACTGTTTCAAGATTTTCAGAAAGACAGAGTCCCGCTCGAGCGCAGGTTTCAATTAGTGAGCGGTTATGCAACAAAGGTACACGCTCGAGCGTCAACTTTCCCGCTCGAGCGTACTGTAAAGTACTGGATGGGTGAAATCTCCGCTCGACGCCCGCTCGAGCTTGAGACATGACTCCGCTCGAGCGCCCAATCCTCCGCTCGAGCGGACTGTAAAACAGTGCAGAGATACTGGATGCTCGGATTCCACGCTCGAGCGGCACTTCCCCCGCTCGAGCGGAAGTGCAGAATCTGGGAATTCCAGATTGCACCTCCAAGCTCAAACTCACATTCAAATGCATCAAAACCAATCCTCTTGGGCCCATTTTCTGGAAAACATTTATAAACACATAGAATATCATAGTTCAAAGCTCAATTTTGAGAAATCAAGGCCCAAGGGTGTTTAATTCAAACTCAATTTCAAACCAATTTCATGAACAATATGAACACGCAAACATGCATGAATTCAAATCACTTGGAAGTTCCAATTTGATGCTCTAAGGAGCCAATTGATCCAAAAACAAGTTGAAAACATGGACCATTACAAAATTATGAACATGCATGTTCCATTTCACCATGGATTCAACTCAAAACTCATCAATTCAAACATGCATGCATGAATTATGTTCTAATCCTACATGTATGAACTAAAACATGGCTTAACTCTACAAATGAAGCATGAATCATGCAAGAATCAAGTCTATAACAACAACAAGAAGATGAATGTCCTACCTTAGTCTTGTGTTCAAGGTTTAGGTGTCCAATTTGACAATTTGCACTTCAATTCCAAGCTATTCAAGCCAATTCACTAGAACAATTCAACTCTCTCTCCCTTCCTCTCTCTCTAAGGCCGGTTGAACAAGGAGAAAGAACTCATGAAATATTTTGATTCAAGCATGCAAGGGCTCTAATCTGTTGTATTGAGTGGGCCACTAAGAGTGGCAATTTGGTAATAAGTCCAGTTCATGTAATTTAGCACCATTAATCTAATTTAATCATACCTAATTAGTTTTCAGATAAGTATACCATAAAATTACATTAATTATGAGGATCCTAAAACATCAATCAATTCCGGATTCGGCCGCCGATAAGGCCTTCAATTAGCAGTTTAAACATAAAACACAAACAGAGCAAATAATCAATCAAACAGATAGATGCACAATTAAACAGATAGACTCAGTCAATTAATTCCAGATTCCAGTCAGTCAGTTCAGTACTTTAATCAGTCCAATTATCAGTCATAATCAATTCAGTTTAACGGTAATCGATGGTTATCGGTAATCAATCAGTCATTAATTGGTAAACAGTATGAGGGTTGTTACAATTTCAGTGGCTAGAAGGCCAAACCAAGCATGCAATAAGAGCTTAGGTGTAATGCTCAAAATAAGGGACAATCAAGCATACAAGGAAGCATATGATCTCAAACAAGAAAATTCCCTTAATAAAACATAGAGATGATGTCAAAAGGAGACTTTTTCTAGTTTATAACAAATCTCAAAAGTGAACACAAATAGGGCTAATCTATTATGCAAAAATGGCCCTAAAAGAGAGATTAGAGACAAGGGACAGCAGCTGGCCCCAAATAGTAAAGAGCCCTTCAATAAAGTTGAAGAGGGACTCAAAACAAGGCACTTTACAGTTTATATCAAGTCTCTAAAATAAACACAAGTGAGGCTAAAACAACATGCAAGAAAAAGGCCTAAGAGAGGGATAAAAAGACAAGTGGTAGCAGCTGGCCTCAAACAGAGGAGAGCCCTTAAACAAAGTTGAAGAGAGGCTCAAAAAAAGACATTTTAAAGTTTATGACCAAGTCCAAAACAGCTCACAAATAAGACTAAAATACCATGCAAAAATAGGCCTAAAAGAGAGATTAAACACAAAGGGTAAGGACAAGACCTCAAACAGAAAAAAGTCCTTGATCAAACATGAAGGTGAGCTCAAAATAAGACTATTTCTAGTTCGGGTCGGAGCCCAAAAATGCTTTCAAGTATGGCTTATAAATGAAGCAAAAAAATGCAAGTTTAAGGGAAATGTGTGTTTACCCTTGAAGAGCAGTGAACCAGCAGCTTTTGGACCAAATTTCCGAGCTTCCAACCTCTGCAAATGGCCTCCAAGTTGCTGGAATGGAGTGTGGAGGTGTGGTGCTATGGGTTGTAGTGCAAATGGTGCAAGACTCTTAGGGTTTGGAGGGTTGAAAGAGAGAGAGATGGAGGATTGTATGTAATGGCTCTAAACAATTTTTTGTAACCCCTTGAAATGAAGGGGAGAGGCTGGTTATATAGAGGGAGAGGGGTGGAGAAAAGGGGGGAAAATCAAATTCAAATTTCCCTCTCAAAAGGCAGCCCCCCGGATACAAAATCTAGGGGAAAACAGAGGGTACAGCTGGAAGGCACTTGGAGAGAGGATTCTGGCCGGCCAGGTTCAAAAGGTTCAGGTGGCTGGCCAGCCACCCCCCTGGCCAGCCGGCCAGCCAGGGGTCAAAAGGGTCAATCAAAATTGCTGGCCGGCCGCCCCAAAAAGGTGGCCTCCCATGTGTGCACAACACAAATATGTGGTCAAAACCCAGAAAATGTGAACCAGGAGAGAGAAAAGCCAACTTTTTAGAGGGGTTCAAAAGGTTCAAGGACAATTACTGGCCGGCCTATACATATTGGTGGCCTCCCAGGTGTGTACAACACAAATATGGGGTTTAGGGCTAAAGAAAGTGGCCCGGGAGTGGTCAACATTAGCTTTCTAGTGAGGAAAACGGGTGACGGAGAGCGATGAAAAAATAAAACTGGTTTTTCAGAAAAATTTCTGGCCTCCCACCCTCCTACAAGCTTTCTAACAATGAAAATAAGGTCTCCACCAAAAATGAACCAAAACGGATGCAAAACGGAGGTTCGGGGACCGAAACGCGCGGCTTGGGGCCTCGAAAATGGGTTGTTAAGCACCGGAGGTGGCATTCGACCACGAAGTTGGTCTCTCGGGCCACAGTGTTCCTCAAAAGGGAGGAAATAAGGTGTATACAAAAAACCGGAGCAAACGGAGGTGGTTAGGCGGTCCCGAACCGAGGCACACGGCCGTCGGCTCCGAAAAATCAGAAACCGGGCTCCAAACGGGAAAAATGGCCTACGACCACGAAACGTAGCCTACGGCCACTGAGAGATGATCTACGAGACCTCTCCCTCCCTTCGGGAAGAGAAAACAGAGAAAACAGAGCCTGGTTCGCAAACCGAGACAAGGCACGAAAGAGTTTGGAAGTCCGGAGGCAAGGCTCGCAACCGGGACTCTGAAACTTTTGAACGAGCACAATATGCAATATCATTGAGCGCTCAATCAATGATGTCTGAGTCTTAAGGTCGGTCAAAAATGGGTTGTCTACATAAGGCAACAACACAAGTTGAGGCCTTTCATTCTGATATCATGGATATTGCTATTCTGATCCATCCAGCAACATAAATCATACTCAAGGAAGTGGCATCAAAGGTAGAGAGCAAGCAGCCTACTCCAAGTAACAAAGGGGAGAGGGTGGAGAGCATACATTCTTCTGGAAATTCCTCAAAGAGCGAATCTTCTGGCAAATCTGGAAGCCAGAAGAAGAAGAAAGGTAAATAGTCTATTTTGGGTTCTGGTTGTGTTTTTTTTGTTATATCTCATGTCTATAAAAATTGCGTCTTGGAATGTTAGAGGGTTGAATGACCCATCTAAGCATAAAGAATTTTTTGATCTTGTGCACAAAGAGAATATCAAAATCATGAGTCTTTTGGAGACAAAAGTGAAATCTGAAAATGAAGCTAAATTTTTTGAAAAAAGCTTGAAAAACTGGAATCTTTTGTCTAATTCACAACCAGATAGAGCTGCTAGAATTTGGATATGTTGGGATCCTAATTTTTGTAATATTGTTAGCATCAGGATGGCAGCTCAGTTTGTTTTTTGTAGGGTTACTATTTTGGAAGGGGATACTAGTTTTTTTGCTATTTTTGTATACGCTGAAAATGAACATGTGCTGAGATTGCCCTGTTTTGCTGAAATTTGCTCTTTAGTTAAGAATCATGTGAGTTCTCCTTTAATATGCCTTGGTGACTTCAATGCTGTTAGATTCTCTTATGAAAAATTGGGTGGTAATGCCAGCTGGAATAGTTCTAAGGAGTTGTTTAATAATATGATTCTTGATGCTGACCTTGAGGATTTGTCTTATACTGGGTGCCAATTTACTTGGTCCAACAAAAGAAGTGAGGGAGCTTATATCACATCCAAGATTGATAGAGCTCTTGTGAATGAGAAGTGGCTTACGAGTTACCCTAACTCTTCTGCCCTTTTCTTGCCTTCGGGGGTCTCTGACCATTCTCCGGCTGTAATCACTTTGGATCCTAAAGTATCTAACTTTAGGAAACCATTTAAATTCTTTGATTTCTGGGCTGATCATCCCAATTTCATTCAGAAAGTTGATGAGGTGTGGAGGAAATACATCAAGGGTTCCCCTATGTTTAGGGCTTGCCAAAAGCTGAGAACCCTCAAGCCTATCTTGAAAAATCTAATAAAAAAGAGTTTAATGATATAACTACTAGAGTGTCCCATGCTAAGGACCAACTTGTTAGTGCTCAAATCAAACTTGACAAAGACCCTCTCAATGGTGTTCTTCAAACCCATGAGAGGGTGGCCTATGCAAAGTATGTGGATCTCAGTAGTGTGGAGGAAAGACTTGCAGATCAAAAGTCTAGAGTCCAGTGATTGGGTTATGGGGATAGGAACTCCAAATTCTTCTTTAGAACTATTAAGGGAAATATCAACAAGGGTAGGATCCAGAGTGTTGTGTTGAATGATGGTGTTAGGGTGACAAAAAGTGAAGAGATTTGTGCCACATTTGTGAATTCCTTCACTGATCTTTTTGGGAAACCGTTCTCTGATAATTATGATGGCTATGATAGAATTACCCAACTTGTCAATAAGAGGGTGTCGTGGATCAGTGCAATGATCTTGCTAGGGAGGTCTCTGACAAGGAGATTATTGATGCTTTCAATTCTCTTAAAGCTAACAAAGCCCCTGGCCCTGATGGCTATTATGCTGGTTTTTTCAAGAAGTCTTGGGAGGTTGTGGGAAAGGAGGTTGTGGTAGCTGTCAAATCATTCTTTCGGTCTAGTGAGCTTCTCCAAGCTCTCAACAGCACAACCATAGCCCTTATTCCCAAAACTCCTAATGTTGAGAAAGTTGGTGACTTTAGGCCTATCTCTTGCTGTAACACTTTGTACAAATGCATCTCTAAGATCATAGTTGATAGGATCAAAGTTGTCTTACCTGACCTCATTGACCCTGTGTAGTCAGCTTTTGTCCATGGTAGGAGAATCTCGGACAATATTTTTTTGTCCCAAGAGCTTATGAGAGGCTATCACAAAAATTCTCCTACCCCAAGATGTGCAATGAAAGTTGACATAATGAAAGCTTATGATAATGTTAGGTGGGATTTTGTTCTTGATGTCCTTAGAGCTATGGGTTTCCCTCTAAATATCATTTGTTGGGTTAAGGCTTGTATTACAAGTCCTTCTTTCTCCATATGTATCAATGGGAGCCTTCATGGGTACTTTAAAGGGGCTCGGGGTCTGAGACAAGGTGGCCCCATGTCCCCTTATCTTTTTGTTATGGTGATGGAGATTCTTTCCAAAATTCTAGCTGAAAAATCTACCCATCCTGATTTTAAGTTCCATTGGAGGTGTGATAAAACTAAAATTGTGAATCTGTGTTTTGCAGATGACCTTATGATTTTCTGCAAAAGGGATGTGTTTACTGTTTCGGTAATTAAGGAAGGGTTAGATGAATTCCAAAGCCTATCTAGGTTGTCTCCTAGTCCCCATAAGAGTCATATTTTTTTCTCAGGGTGTGAGAAGAAGTTGCGTGACGAGCTTCTTAATGTCGTCAAGTTTAATGAGGGTGTACTACCGGTGAGATATCTAGGTATTCCTTTAATCTCAACTAAGTTGAAATCTAGTGATTACGACAAACTTGTTGAGAGAATTACATATAGAATCAAGAGTTGGACTAACATATGTCTTACATATGCTGGTAGAGCTCAACTGATTCAATCCATTCTCTTCTCGATGCAAGTGTATTGGTCCTCGTTGTTTATCCTCCCAAAGAAGGTTGTTAAATCTATTGAGAGTCTCTTTAGATCTTTCTTTTGGTCTGGTTGTGAGCTTAGGAAATATGGGGCTAAAGTGTCTTGGGAGCATGTCTGCTCCTCCAAATCTGAAGGGGGTCTTGGTTTTAAATCCATAGAGGTGTGGAACAAAGCTGCAGTGGCCAAGCATATCTGGTTTCTTTTCTCCGAAGGAGAACAGTCTATGTGGTGCCAGTGGGTGAAATCCTATTTACTTAAAGGTCAGAGTCTATGGAGGGTTAAAATGCCTAGTGACCCTTCTTGGGTCTGGAGGAAAATTCTATCCCTTCGGCCTGTCATTTACCCTTTGATTCTGCACAAAATTGGGAATAGGGGTGATGTTTTCTTGTGGTTTGACAATTGGCATCCTCTTGGATCTTTGTGGGCGAGGTTTGGTGTTAGAGTTGTCTATGATATTGCCTTTGGGATGGATGCTAAGGTTAGTAGTATTGTTAATAATCGTTCTTGGAGTTGTCCCAGGAGAAGGAGGAGCTTCTTACAGGAGTTGATTGAGCATACCCCGCTTACGTTTACTTCCAACTCTGGTAATGATACTGTTATTTGGGTGCCGTCTTCTGATGGTAAGTTTTCTATAAATTCAACTTGGAATTGGTTCAGGAAATCTTTTACTACAGTTTCTTGGGAGAAGCTGCTGTGGGGTCCTTATAATATTCCTAAGGCAAGTATGGTTACCTGGATGGCTATTTTGGGGAGATTAAACACAGTGGATAGGCTTAAGCTGTTTTGTATATCTCAAACCTCTATGTGTGTTTTGTGTAATGACCCTTACGAGGATCATAACCATTTATTCTTTGATTGTCCCTTCTCCAGTTGAGTTTGGGAGAGTATTAAAGGGAAACTTAATGTGAATTGGCCCCATCTCCTTTGGCTTGACATTGTTCAGTTGGTTTCTAAAACGGTCAAAGGTAAATCCCTTAGTGCTGTGGTCACAAGGCTTGCATTTACTTGTACTGTGTATCAGCTTTGGATTGTTAGGAACAATTGCATATTTAGAAAGGAAAAGATTCTTGAAGAGATTGTGATTAAAGGCATTGTGGATATGATTAGATTTCGAGTAATGTCTATTACTAACCTCAAATTGCATCCTAGTGACAGTTGGTTTTTGAGTTCCTGGAGGCTGCCTAACACTGTGTTGAAAGCAACAACAAATGAAATGAGAGTTGAGAGTTCAGTAAATTGTGGGTTGAGTGGTGGTAGCACAAATTGAGTGTTTTCTTAATGGTTTGCTCATTTTGTAGGTACATGGATAAGTTGGAACTGCGGGCTGTACATGGATCTGAAGTTTTTTTTGTGGAGAACATGTACATGCGTAGATTGAAGACTGTAAGTGAGATTACCTATATCAGAGGGTTGAGAGATTTGGGAGGCTACCATATACCATACCCTAAACTTCTACTAGCCATATTGAGAGTTGTTTTTGTATATTCTGCTCTAACTTTTTGGTGTAGGTACTTGGAGCTGAAGAAATTTGAGAGATGTGAGATTCTATATTGTGGGTTGAGTGATGTGAGCCCATATTATGAGTGCTGTTACGATATCCTGACTGATACAGTGTTAGTTAACCCGATGTATATGCGATATTCATTATATTACCAATTTTGCACAGGAGGTACTAAGCTGTGTGTTAAGCTCGGTGATGGCTGGACTTGTTGGCGGCTATGGATTGGTCGATACAAGCAATCTGCTGGATATACCTGGTTGATGAAAATGGTACTTGGAGGGTTGGGGAGCAGTGTACAGCAGCTCTTTGTTGGCCCCTGTCGTGTGTATGGATGTTTCTCGGCTAGAATCTTCAACATTTGGAAGTGTTGTCGCAGAATTAATGGCTGCTGGAAGCGCCGTTGGAGTGAAGAAAGTTTTATTTATGTGTATATATCTGTCTTTATTTTATGTTATTGTTCTACCATCTTTTTTAACCTACCTTTGCGGGGTGTGCAAGGTTTTATTTATGTGTTAACAGTGTTGCTAAGATGGATGTTCATGGTCCACATGTCCTTCTATGGGGCCCATGAACATTCGATTGTTTGCTTCTTTTGTGTTAGTTGTCGGCTTGTGCTGTCCGGTTTATGTTGGTTTGTTATGGTTTGGTTTTGGGTGGATATGCATAGTTGCTGTCCATTTTTTCTTTGTTTCTTTGTATAGTTTCGGGTAGGGCCTGGGGCATGCCCCTTGTATTCTTGTGTTAGTCTTTTGTTTTATTTTATGACTTACTTACCCAAAAAAAAAAGCTCGAATCCCCCGAAACCCCAAAACAACGTCGTTTTGGGTTTTTTTTTTTTTTTTTTTTCCATCTTTCATTTTCCTTCTCGTTTGTCTGAAGAAGAAGAAGAAGAAGAAGAAGATCTGAAATCAAATCAAACCCACTTTCCTTCAACCACAAAATTGATTCAACCACAAAATTGAAACCCATCACAAACCCATCCAAAAATCAAACCCAGATCTGGATCTACTAGGGGAAAAAAAAAAAAAAATCAACAACAACAAATCATCTCCATCTTCAACACATCATCATCAACAACCATATCTTCATCAACATCACCATCATCAACACATCATCTCCATCTTCAGAGGCAGGAAAAAAAAAAAAAAGAAAAAAAAAAGAGAAAACAGAGTCGCACCCTACCCGCCATCACCGTCGCACCACCGTCACCGCCACCATCGCCATCAAACGGTGGCATAAGGAAGATTCGGGCTCTTTCTCTTCCCCTCTCTTCTCTCTCTCTCTCTCTCTCTCTCTCTCCCTCCTGTGTGTTCAGATTTCAGATAAGAAAATGCGTGAGACCTCTAAAGAGCTCTAGCCCGAATCCCTCGAATGCCAAAACGACGTCGTTTTGGCAATGTTTTTTTCTTCTTCTTCTTCTTCTTCTTCTTCTTCTCGTTTATATCTGAAATCTGAACACACAGGGGGGGAAAGAAAGAGAGAGAGAGAGAGAGAGGAGGAGAGACGGAAGCAGAGAGAGAGGCGACGGTGATAGTGGGGCGGGGCGACGGTGATGGCGATGGCAGGGCAGGGCGGGGCGACGGTGATGACGGGTATGGTGCGACTGGGTGCGACTCTGTTTTCTCTCTGTTTTATTTTCTTTTTTTTTTGGCTCTGAAGATGGAGATGATGTGCTGATGATAGTGATGTTGATGAAGATGTTGTTGTTGATGATGATGTGTTGAAGATGGAGATGATTTGTTGTTGTTGATTTTTTTTTTCCTAGTAGATCCAGATCTGGGTTTGATTTTTGGGTGGGTTTGTGATGGGTTTCAATTTTGTGGTTGAAGGAAAGTGGGTTTGATTTGATTTCAGATCTTCTTCTTCTTCTTCAGACTCTTCTTCTTCAGACAAACGAGAAGGAAGATGGAAAAAAGAAAAAAAGAAAAAAAAACCCCAAAACAACATTGTTTTGGGATTTCGGGGGATTCGAGCTCTCAGTGATTCGAGCTATGTAGCGGAGTCGATTTATTTAATAACTGACCCACTAGACCTATTAATCTGGATATTAATTTCACTGAACCTGTTTGGTAAATTTTTTTTTAAAGTTAAAAATTGATAATCAAAAAGCAGAAATTAAAAATACCCCTACCTCACCTTTCCAATAATTAATTTTTTTCAACTTATTTAAACTATTCCTACTTAATAAATTATAAGTAAAAACTGCACCAAATAGTCTTTCACAAACTTTTAAATCAAAATAAAGTTATAATTGCCCCCTAAAAGCTATAACAAACAATCCCACTGACAAGAGGGAGCAATCAAAGCCAGAGTAAAAACAAATCCCACTAACAAGAGGGAGCAATCAAAGCCGGAATAAAACTCCACCATCTCTAACAACTCAATAAACATACTTCTTCCTTTTTACTTTCATTTGTTTCCAAAAAAATTTGTGTTTAGCAAAGCCGCCGAACCCAAAACTTATTACCTGTATCATTTTGACACCTTAAAATGTCAAACATTTATCTGTCTGCATATTTAAGATGATTTAAAAGCAAAAGCATTTTAAAATCCTTCACAAATTTAAAATCTAAACACAACATTAGTAACGTTACACAAGTTATTGTATCATAAATGTCACATACCAACCAATGAAGATCGAGTTGCAAAACCATTAAAAATTTTCCACACTATCAGTCATTAAAATCAAAACAAGTCACCCATCTGTTAGCATGCAGGACAAGTTACAACAAAAAAAAAAAAAGAAAAAGAAAAAGAAAAAGAAAAAGAACAAGAAAAAGAAAAAAGAAAAATAAATAATAAGATGACAAAAATATAGATTACACTATTTATGTTTTTTAATCCACAAAATAGAACAAAAATAAACTCTATCCAAAGATGGACGCACAATATTACAAAAACTACGCTGATATAAAACTAAATCACTTGAAGCATTTGGCATCCAAAAGAGGCTCTCCCTCAAAGGGCTCCTGATCCTCTATCATCTGATTGACCCTCTCTTTCTGGGCTTCATCTGTTAAGTCAACCTTCCTCCAATCATAAAGCTCCATGTCATAGCACTCGTCAATTACAAATTGAGGAATTTCCTGGCCACGGAAAAGCCACAGACCCTTCACCTTGAATGGGGCTTCTGCGCCGATCACCAACATCTTCCCAAAGGCATACTTGCGTGCCAGATCCATCCGTTGAAGGAATCCACCAACCTTGTTCATGGTGACAAATGAGACAGTATTCTCATCATTGTACTTGTAATCACAGAACCAAAGAGAGTATCCCTCCGGATCATACATGTCCCAGAAACCTGCAACGAATAGGACTTCATTAGGTGGAAACTACAAACATTTATTTCAGCTTTTAAAAGCATGTTTTGAAATCAGAAAAACTAGTGAAATCACAAACAATATAATACTTGTTTACGGTTCAAATTAAATCACTTCAGACATTCAGTTTTAGTTTCAACATCCATATAAAGTAAATCAAGGAATAAAATTTCAAAAGTCAACCTCCAAACAATTCAAAAATATGAATATTTTGTAAATTTGATTGAAACTGTCTCTACTGTGAAATTCCAAGAACTTTTGTCAACATGGAAGTACTAGAAACGCAAATGAGCAACAGAAGATGAAATTCCATTCAAGCGGAGATGCGCCAACTCAACATAAGAATGTAAAAGCTCCATTGACTCCGATAAAACAAAGTTCAAAACGAAACAGACACGAGAGGTGGGTGATTTGAAAAGGTTGGGGGAGCATAGCTGGTTACACTTGGCTAAAATGGCTTGACATAAAGGACCAAATTTCACAAGCAAATAACTGAGTAGTGTGCTATATATCAATATTAATTTCTAGATGTCTGACACAAGAACATAATTTTGGATAGACCAATTTGCAATAGAAATCATAGAACAATAAGTAAAGTTCACCTGTCATAATTGTTATTTAGGTAAATTAACCAACTTTGTCAGCTTAAACCAATAAAGCATGCATGAATGCTCACAAACAAAATAAAAAATCAAAATTCAGAAACATAGTTATATAGTACAATAAAGTACAACCAAATGCATAGTTTCTTCAAGAATATTAGTCCTAGTAACAGACGCTTGTATAAGTAACTTGCGCCATTAAAACATGCTGAAACCAAAAATTACAATTCTGATTGACGGTACCATTTTTCAAAGAGGAAGTCAAATTAAGACAGGCAGGAACGAACTAATTACAGTTTTCTTTCTTCCTAAAAACTTCTTAGGATGTAACAGATGCACCCTGTAAAATTACCAAAAAGTGTTTTAAATATTCTATAAATAGCTTATCGTATATTAAGTGTAAAAGCAAAAGATGAATACCTTTGATTGCAACTTCACGGAAATTGGTCTTGGTATTTGAGTAGAGCCTCTTCCACTCATCCAGTATCATCTTACTTGGGGGCAGTAGATCAAGAGAATTCTTTGGTTTGGGTTTTGGTGCCTCCTCCTCTTCCTCACCAGCTTCTTCTTTGGGCTTTGCTGGTTCCTTCTTCGCTTCTTTCTTTGGCTCATCCTTAGGCTTTGGTTTTGCAGCTTCTTTTGGTGGGGAAGGCTTCTTTGTAGACTGAACAGGTGGAACTTTTTCCGTCTGTTTAACCTCACCCAATATCTTGCTGAAATTTGCTTGATTAACCATGGTCCAGAAGTATCTCTCAACATGAGGGAACTCAGAGGTAAAGCTCGTACTCATGAGCCGAGTGAATCCCAAATACAAATTGCATGTCATGATAATATCAGCCAGGGTCACAGCATGCCCAACCAGGTAAGTGTTTGAAGCCAAATATGTATTCAAAGCACCAAGACCTCTCTTCAATGCAGAAATAGCAGCTTCCTCAGCCTTAAAACAAAAACATACAAGGATAAGCACAAAGAACACTTGTCGAGAAATTATAAATACATTGAAAAGAACTTTTTTTAAAAAGCTGAATGAAAATTGAAACCTTTAACTAGGGGTGATCAACGAACCAAATAGCTCGAGCTCACTCATGTTCTATTAATTAAAAGCTCATTTGAGCTCAGTTCATTAAGTAAACAAGCCAATCTTGAACACATTTCGGAGCTTGTTAAAGTTTTCAAACCAAGTCTGAACAATCAATTGCCGTTCGGCTCGGTTTGATACGTCCAAAACTATGTAAAAACAACAAACTATCTGAGCTTGGCTCAACAAAAGCTCCTTTGAGATCAGCTCTAAAGTTTAACAAACCAAACTTGAACAAATTTTGAAACTCGTTAAAGTTTTCAAACCAAACTTGAACGATTAACTGTTCAGTTCGGCTTCTTTATCACCCCTACCTTTCACTGGCCCACACCCTCAAAATACAAAATGAAAAAACAAAAAAAGAACGAAAGAAAATAATTAAAATTTTTAATTAAAGTAATGAAACATAAAAAAAAAAAATGTTATAAACTGTAAATATTGTTGTTATTTCAGGCAAGTAAATCCCTAATTGCCTAGAATGTGGTAAGATCAGATTATTTCCAATACCTGTAAAGCATTTGGACACCTCATGGAACTAAAATCACCATTTTCTGAAACAGGGAGACTACACATTGAAATCCCCTGTCCCTCCAAACCCCCCACCCATCACCCCAAAAACCAAAGCAGTTTTGCCTATGGAAGAAATTGAGAGGAAATCTTTTTTTTTTTTTTCTTTCATTCAAGAACTCCCCAGGGTATAAAGAAGAGCAAGTACAATTTTAGTCCACTCCATAAGTGAAGAGATTTCAATGGACATTTGAATCCTACAAGTGGGGCAGGATTTCATATTACTCAGTACACAAATTCTCCTTTCTTTCCATTCCCAACAACATCAAGAGACAGAAATATTATTTAATTTCTGTTCCTTATCTAACTTATCAATTTCTTCTCTCCACTTCCAAACAAAATGTGTGATCCAATGTATGTAATACAAATGAGTCATAAAGAGGCTGAAAACAATAAAAAAAAAAAAACTTATTTCAAATTCCACATAAGTACATGGATTCATTTATAATGCCATATAAAACAATTGATCATGCTGAGACACTTCATTTTCATGCTATTTTGACACAACAAAATACTATCAACAGAAAACAAGAGAAGACATCACTCACTGGGGGAAGGTAAACAGTGTGTCCCATTCTTAGTCTAAACCAGTTCAAAATATTAGCGTCAACCTCCAGTGATGCAAAGTCAATCCACTGCTCAACATGGGCCTAGAAAAACAATATGACAGATGATTATTATAAGCGCTAAAAAACGGAAAGTTTCTTCTCTCCTGCAGATGTGGCTGAATAAAAAAAATAACTAAGGAAATGAAATTAACGAATGAAAATCATTTGAACCATGTAGCAATTTTGACAACAAAATTATAAAATCAAGGCAAACAATATATCTTACACATTCTGTTAACGAAGAGCCACAAAGAGGATTGTCAGACTTCAAGCGAGCAACTGCAGCAACCAAGGCAAAAGTGTAAGCATAACTAAAACCATAAGAGCATTTTTTTTTTTCCTGAAAAGAAAAGAAAAATATAGTCTAACCATATCGTGCTATGGCATTGCTCTCAAAGATGGGCCCATCAGGAGTTTCCAGCACAGGAACCTATATATCAATAAGACATTTTTATAGTAAAATAAATAAACTAAATATCTGATTGTTCAAAATAAATTACAAAAAATGTAACTTTTTACCTTCCCAATAGGGTTCATCTTAATAAACTCTGGGGTTTTATTTGACACACCCATCTCAAAATTCTGGGCAAGTTCAACTTGGACACCACTGTACTCTGCAGCAATGAGTGTCTTGAAAGCATTTTTGTTTGTTTTCCCTGCATGCAAGATCTACAATATAGACCACAAACCATAGACATATTATTTATGAAAGGCCACCAAATGGGAATGCAGTAAATGACGTAACAAGAAGGACTGTGATATCCAAATGACATAGAACCTCTACGTCATTAGAGACAGTTGAAAAATATATAGAGAATATGCCACTGAATTGCACGTGTTAACATGGCCACTTTCTCCCTTCACATATATAACTAACATCAACATGGACATATTCTAGGTTTATATATAATATATCACTTAAATTTCTGATTTTGGTGAATTATCCTAAAACTCACAAGGAACACCTCATCATGCATTAAAAAAATTAAAGAAGACTGGTCACGACGTTCAAATTGCAATAGCTCAAAAATCCAGTTAGACCCATGAGCAAGCTTCAAATTATGAACGAAGTCATGAACCAAGCAAAGATTAAAGAGGATTAGAAACCTCAAATCAAGCTTTAAATTGACTTGAGCTTCACCCAAGTTCAAGTAGTCCACTCCGCTAAGCCTGATCAGCTCTTCATGCAACTAACGACCCTAAAACTGCAACTTTTGCTTCCTGAATTAACAAAATTTTGGCTACATTCCTATATATACTACAAAAAAAGGTAAAGAACTATAAGCAGATCTTCAAATACTGCATTGATGCAGATGCATAGCTTTATCCCATAAGAAAAAATTTATGCTCTAAGTTCAAGTAGAATATTGCAGTTTGCTATTCTGAGTTCCACTACAACATTCAACAAATTCAAAAGCAACAAGTTGCAATATGTTGATATCTCTTGTACAGTTCAGAATTACGACAAACTTGAGAGACACAAAACCCAACTTAAATAATCACATTCAACCAAATAAAACACTTCTAACAATAAAATAAATATCTATAAATCCATACATTCTGTAGCTATATTTCAATTTGTTTTCCCAATTCCGAATATTTTCTCAAGAACCAAACAGAACAAAAGTGAAACACATAAAAAAAAATCGATATCAAAATTATATGTGGATAATTAAACCTTATGAGCACCAAAATTTAAAAAAATAAAAAATAAAAAATTCCGTTTCACATACAGTAAGCGATTGTCCAAATCCAACTATATATATATATACACAAACACGGCAATTCAAATCAATATGTTTAATCTCAGAACTCAGATCATGCTTGTCTATACAATCATGCACATACAAACTAGTAATATGAATAAGAAGAGCAGAAATGACTCACCAGCGCCATTTCTTAAGGGAAAAACGATCGCTTTTTGATATCGGATCTGAAAACAAAAGCACAAAAATTACAACACACATCCAGAAAAAGCTGAATTGAATTGAAGTATGTTAGAGAGAGAGAGAGAGAGAGAGAGATTGGACCTTAGAGTACGAGCGATCTTCCGAAAAGCAAGAAGCTTTGCGAGTGAAGAGAGAAAGGAGAGAGAGAGAGAGAGAGAAGCGAAGTGGCACAGTAGGGCTTAAACAGCGACAGGTCGAAAAGGTCGGGTTTTTCCGACCCGAATAATCGGATTGGGTTTTAAATTTGGCTGATCGAGTTGAAAAAGGCCCAATTTGCAGTGAACGTTGGGCTTCTCAAAATGTTGGTTAAAACGGGTTTATTATTATTTAGTAGTTTGGGAGTAAGGTCACATGGTGTTTTATGATAGTATGATTAGTAGAGATGGTGAACTATTGATTATTTATGTTGAGTGATTGAGGAATATGAAAGGACATAATGAATGGTTATTGGTTATTCGAACTATTGTATAATTTTTTGGTTAAACTATATTTTTCCAAATCACAAATATAGGGGTGGATCCAAATATGATGTGTTTGTAATTTTATATTTAAATTTTGAATAGTTTAATGATTGGGGGCAATTTGATGAATGAAAAAAAATATTAAGCAAATTTTGATAGTTTAATAAATCAAACAAATCAATCAACAATTATTAGATGTGGGGAGGTAGTTTTGGAATATTCTTTTAATCCAGACAAGCTCTCGAGAGATTCTTGAGATGTCACCTGAAATAGAAGAACGACTCCGCTCGGTGGTGCCTGAATCATCACTCCAACGGGCAAGTTAACTTTTTTATGAAGAGTCCTTTGTTTCTTTAAGTTCAAGTAATTTGAAACATACTTCCTCCTTCAACCTTCTTCTTCTTTTTATAGAGTCATTCTCTTTGATATTTTCTCTATATAGCTTAGCCCTTCATCATCACTCTGTTAAGACTCATTTCCCTACTATACTTTTTAGAAGGGGACAGTGTAGTCCCACTTAATGAGATCATGCTGACTTACCTGATATACTTGGCTCCATTGTACGGCGCAAGTACTCTTTTTAACTCATCGTTCTCCTCATTTGTCTTTCGTGTCTACTTGGCAATGACTTTCAATCCAATGGGCTTTGGCTTCATTTGACCCATTCCAGATGGGCTTGGATGTACTCTGTTTATCGTTTTAGGTGCATCTCTTTTCGGTTTTCACATTAGATGTTGTAGTTATATGAATGATTTTTTTTTTGAAGAAGAAAAGATGTGATTGTACATTTTGTATAATAATTAATGGTAAGTGTAAATGTGATATGCTTAAAATTTTATATTTAATTTTTTTAATAATTTGATGATTGAGGAAATTTGATTAATAGTTTTAGATAATTTGATGAAGGATTTTTTTTTTATAACAATTATTGAATATGATAGTTAATAAGTGAGAATGGGGACAATGAGTAGGTGTGGGAGCTAGAAAAAAAATATATATCAGTTTATTGGGGTTAACTTAAACAAGGCCTACAATGGGTCCAGCCCAAACAAATATCACACCCCCCTAATCTATATAAAAGGGGGGCATTCCAGAAGAGGATGTATGCCTTTTCCCCTGCACTTCACACATAACACTCTTTACAATTCTTGATCTATATTCTTCATTCATGGATTCTAACTTCATCATCGGAGTGTTCCCGATCGGTAACCCCAATTGGGTGGCATCAACCATATTTATCTCTTGCAGGTTCATGTGACTATCTTCGTTGGATCTTAACAACAGTCCATGTGAGGGATTATTCTAGAACTCACAATTGGCACCGTCTGTAAGAATCGTTTGAAAGAGTTCAACGAAGTAAATTGCAAACCTGTTATAGTAAGTAAAACTTCAACAACACTATGATGGTGATCTACCTTCCCACTAAACTTATTTTTAAAATTATTTTCAAATGGGTTCTTGAATTGTATATACATATGTGTCTGCTTACAAGCTTTGTCAAACCATTTGTTTACACACTTTGTCAAAACATTTGTTTATTGTGAATGTTGATGGAAAAGTTTTAAAACAACACAATTTATGGATCTACTTTTGTATCTTGATTTTCTCTCTCTAAAATTGGTTTTTACATTCTTTTTTATGAAAGTAGTTTTTCGGAAAATAGAACAAAGATTGCTCGACTGAACCCACCCTTGGGTCTTTATTTATTTATTGTCTCACAAAACTTGTTTTGAGTTGCTTCTTGGCACAATGTACATACGTCCTCATAAATTGTTGGAAAATCATTGTTAATTGTCAATATTATTTAAAAAAACAAAAGGGTGGAAAGCAAGATAGACTATAGCTCTACAATTGGGTTTATACTCTCTCTAGAATTCAATGACCATGCTTTGAAGCTTTAACGGCAATGCCTTCTTTCTAGGAAGTTATCCGGCAAGAAAAATAAAACACCAAGGCTATTCAACTCCTCTAGTAATTCATTCTTGTATTCGGCAACTTTGCTCTGCAAGCTTTGAGCTCAATACTCAATGCACGGTCATTTAATTGCCGCAAATAGACGAACGACTAAATTGCCAAACTCAGCAAAACCAAATTCATCTTGCCGAATTGCCGAGTTTCCAATCAAACATGTAACAAATAGCAAATAGCCGAATTCATCTTGTCGAGTTGCCGAGTTGCCAATCAAACATGCAAATAGCAAATAGTCGAATTCCTCTTGCTGAGTTGTCGAGTTGCCAAAAGATCAATGCTTGCAATGCCTTATTTTGGTAAACCAAGGAAATTGTCGAGATGGTGACCAAGTGTTTTCGCAATCCAACAAACCAAGGAGCTGCCAGTTATTCACCGCCAAGTGTGACTTGAACACCCATTGTGAGCCTCACCAAGCACACTTTTCCACTGAGCGCATTTTGCCGAGAGAACCTTTTTTCGAACACCTTCCTTCTGCCAGCCACACTTTAATCGAGGACAAGAGCCGAACAACACCCACAAAAAAAAGAAGCAAAAAAAAAAAAGTAATAGAGTAATCTTATTTTTGGTCAACTTTTGGAGGTCCGATGGCATCCAATAAAGGCGGAATGAGGCATCTGAATAGTGGAATGAACACTAGGCTGAGAGATGGATTCAACACTGCAAAAATGAGGCAAATCAGACTTAAAACGAGGGAGATACAAAGGCTCGAAGTTAGGAGTTTGAAGCTAAAAAACAATTTGCTTTTCACTATATGTTGCATGAAGAAGATGACATAAGAATTTATTGTGCGCTTCTCGGTGCAAGGTGCGCCGTTACATCTTGGGGTGTTCGGGTTAATCGGGTGATCCGATAACTTTGGGGGCGACTACCCTCTAGTTTTTGCCGAGTAGAATCCATTTTTAAAGTCCAATTTTGCAAATTTTGAGCTGCATATTGAGATCAATACATCGGCCAATTGGGGACATTAAATGCAAAATCAACGGTCAAATCATATCCGATCGGCATGCAATTTCAGCAGTAGGATCTTGGGGCTAAGAAATAATCCTCCTTCTTCTTGGATCATTCATTTTGTTACCTTGGCTATTTATCGCCCACTGGGACATTTTAGTTAATTTTTCGCTTTCCAATTGGTGGTGTATCAGCTGATCATCATCTTGGCACCTCTGCTATGCATGCATACTCAGCCAACTTGGTATAAAAATTACAACAAAATTTACTTAAGTTACAAACTCCTGCTCCTTTTCACACAGCTCCAAGCAAGCTCCAGTTTTGGGGCAATACATTACACACTCGGCAGTCGGTAGTTCTTCGTATTTATTTCCATGCTCGGCACATAAAAATATCTCTAACTCGGCACGAAAGTCCATATTTTGAAGCAACCATTATTTAGCACATATTGGCAACCAAAATCTGAGCCAAAGTAACCATTAATTGGCACATTATTGGCAACTAAAATCTGAGCCACAATAACCATTATTCAGTATTGGCACATTGGGCACATTATTGCAACTTATTTGGCAACTTTTATTTGGCATATTATCAGCAAGGAGTTTCAACAACTTATTCGGCTTATTTGGCAACTTACTTGGCATATCAGCAACGCTGTAAATCCACATATTATCAATTCATAACTTATTCGGTATATTATCGTTGCAATTCGACATATTATCAAGAGCATATTAATATCAGCATTGCATTTTATCTAGCATTGACAACTTGTTTAGCACTAACTTCTTGGCAATAATATTTGGCACTAATATCTTGGCTTCAGCAACAATAGTCCTCGACATTAATCTCGGCATTGACATAGAACTAGCATCTTAGCTTGCCGAAATCCATATCTAATAATACCAAAGGATTTTCGTTGACTCAAGGAGTTCAAAGCCACTAACCAGAGGAGTCAAAAATTAACCGACGTTTGCCGATAGTTGTGCAACACCCCATATTTTTAGCCAACTACAATTTTCAACATTGTCGAAATCAAGTTTTGATTATACCAATGTGAAGTACTCATTGAGACTAATCCAATACAACAAACCGCGTCAAAATCGGAGCTTGAACGTAGCTGTACAAGCCAGTCGAAGTTTGCTTAGAAATTCATCCATTTTTGCCGAAGGAGATTACCAGAGTTGGTAATGACAAACATAAAAAATTATCATGTGCTTTGCGGCTAAAGTACAACCTATTGATTCGAGCCCTCCGATCCATTTTGGCTACAACGATGCCATCATGCGTCTGATTATAATGAGCGAATAGTCGTTTCCAAATATTTGGAGCCTTCTGAACACATGCGTATAGTCTGATTTTGTCAATTCCATGTCCAAAATTTGTCAATTCTTTGCCTCATCTCCGTCGCAGCTCAAACAATCTTTTTGCCACCCAACTTAGAGTTTGATCAATGCCTAATTCAACAATTTTGGCGTTTTCTTGCCTATATAACAACCCGCATTATTCGGTAATTTTATTCCGAATTTCTTCTGAATAACAACTTTCATTCACAAGCAATGGGACACAAAATCTACATCAACTATTTGACCTCAGC